CTCCAGTCTGGGCGACAGAGTGAGACTCCAACTCAAAACAACAACAACAAAAAAAAAAAACATAATTACTCCAAACTTTAAATAAATGACAATGAAAACTTCAAAAGATTATGAGTCTTGAATGAGCTGTACCTTCTATTGATGTCCACAGCTTCTGCATAATCTCATATGTACCCTGGACAGGAAGCCAGGTAAAACAAGACCCAGAACACGTATGCTAGAAGGATAAGCCAGGTGGGCGCGCAGAGAGGAACCAGCTGAAGAGGACGCCCAGTCGTAGAGACCACAATGAGAAGGACGTGGAGAGGGGCCCAGAAACAAGGTCCAATGGGCAGAACTAGTGGGAAAGGGCAGTTTATAGAATAGCACCACCCCAGATCTGTGAGGCTGCTCCTGGGCAGGAGAAACCGACGTGATTGAGAAGTTTCAGCGGGCAGGCAGGGACTAAGTGTGAGGGAAGCCAGAGGAGTGAAAAGCCAGGAAAGAACTGAGGGGCAGGAAGAGGCCTGGCAGAGGTTTCGGATAGGGACCGTCTTGTTCGCTTAGTGCTGGCACAAAATCGGCCTTCAGTAAACATCTGTGGCATTACCGACTCCTGGAGGCAGGCTGCAGCGGTCAGAGCACGGGTTAATCGCGAACTTAGCTGACCATCACAGGTTCCGGCTCACCTGGTGGGGGAAGGCAAGCCCCAGTGCGTCCAGCAAACCCGCCCGCGCCCCGCCCCCGGCCCTACTGAGGTTGCGCAGACAGCGACCGCTTTTTACGACGGGCCGGAAAGTGCCTACCGCAGCTTGCGCTGGGCTGAGCCGGGGCACTATGGGGGTGAGCGGCGGTAACCCGCCGCGGGGCTCCGAGGGGGAGATAGCGAGGGTTTAGGGGCGCAGGAGCTCGCACCAGGAGGAAAGGGAGGGCGTGGGCTCGCGCTGAAGGAGCAGAAAGCAGAACTCGTGCCCAGGGGGCGGGGCGGAGGGGCGGGACCAGGCAAGGGCCTCACTAACGCAGTGGCTCTGGCCCTTTCAGAAAATCGCGCTGCAGCTCAAAGCCACGCTGGAGAACGTCACCAACCTCCGGCCAGTGGGCGAGGACTTCCGGTGGTACCTGAAGGTGCGGCTGGGGGGCGGGGCCGAGGCCCCCGGGCTGGGAGGTAGGAGGAGCATCCGAGAGGCGGGGGCGTCTTCGGGGTTCCAGGGAGGGTCGTCGGGGCCTGACCCCGGGAGAAGTGGCCCATCCGACCTCGGTGTTGCACGGAACTTTCTCTCCGGCAGTGTGAGACGTGTTTAACCTGACATATTAATGCTGGTTAGAATTTTAGGTTTGCTTTTTAAAGTTTATTGGCAGTCTTGGAATTTTTCCTTTTGTAGTTTTCCCTTCCATCAACTATTTCGTGTCTGTAAACAGACTTTAAAAGAAATGCTACTTAAAGAGACTTTGTGATTATTTAATAAGGTGAATAGTTTGACGTTTCATTTGTTGATTTGGGTTTATTTACTGTAAAGTAGTTTAATTCTGTGCATAATTCACTCTGTTTCTCATCCCACGCTGGTAAATCTGGTACCCTAGGGGCATGGCCTACAGAGATCCTCTTCTCACCCAGCAATTGGAAAACCCTCACTATCCCAGATCCCAGAGCTTGGGCTCTGCTTTCCCCCTAGTCTAAATTGCAAATCCTTCTGTACTTGTCAAAAGCCCTATCCTTCGGGAAGCCATCTCTGACTACTTTTATCAGCAAGTATTTTGAAATCTAAGTGCCAGGGTTTATTGGGGGAAATCAGTGTTCTTTGGTTTCAAGAAGCACAGAGTCTAGTGAAGAAGACAGAAAAATAGAGTAACAACAAGCAGAGTGATAAATACTTAAACCAGGATCTGCAGGGTCTGTGGGAACATAAAGGAAGCTCCTAACCAAGGAGAGTGGTGAGGGCCCTCCCATTTCTTTCTTTTTTTAAAAATAATTGTGCATATTTATGGGGTTCCTAATGATGTTGCAATACATATAATGTATGGTGATCAGATCCAGATAGTTAGCATATTCATCATCTCAAACGTTCATCTGTTTTTTGTCTTGGGAACATTCAATATCCTCCTCCTAGTTATATATAACTTTTGTTATGTTAACTTTAGTCATCCTACAGTGCTACTCTAGAACTTACTCCTCACATGTAGCTGAAATTTTGTGCCCTTTAACAAATTTCTCCCTACTCCCTTCCTTCTGTTGAGGCCATTTTTGTACCTCATGATCCTTGTATCCCTAGCCAGACTGAGCGCTTCATAGTGGAGGGTGGGCATACAGCATAAGTAACAACTTGACCTGTCGTTTGCCCAGAAATGAGTCTGATTATGCCTTTGTTGGGGCTGATTGTAAGGATGAAGTAAGATTGCCATCAGGAAGGTAGGTTATGAGCCTGCACCTACCCACCCCTCACTGTTGGGTCCCTCAGTGCCCAACTGAGCCAGCTAATTTACTAACACTATTTTTCCTCCCAAGATGAAATGTGGCAACTGTGGCGAGATTTCAGAGAAATGGCAATACATCCGGCTGATGGTAGCTATCCCCTGCACCCCACCATACACACTCACAACAATACCTCTGGGCAGGGATTTGGGGGAAATAGCCTTCATCTCCCCAGTCCTTTGTACCCTGCTTTATGTTTTTTGGGCGGGCAGGCATCAGTGTGATCAGCACTGGGAGCAGTAGGCATCTTTGGGATGTGAGGTAGAGTTCAAAATCAAGAGGAAGTCCTTTCCTCATTCTCAGGAAGGCTCCCCAGGCTTTTTGTACTAGCAAGTTCCTCACCCTCTCTGGGTCTAGGTCCCTTCAACTGGATTATTAGTGATGGAACTGGATCTAACTAATACGTGACTAGAGGTTCTGTCTGCTCTTTGCCAGGACAGTGTGGCACTGAAGGGGGCTCGTGGCAGTGCTTCCATGGTTCAGAAGTGCAAGCTGTGTGCACGGGAAAACTCCATCGGTAGGTCAGGCTGGCCCACAGCTTCCTGTTACCCAACCGAAAGCAGGTCCATGTTACCTGTGACTGTACGGGGGTGTAAGGTGGTGAAGCCTGCACAGTGATCTTTTTCCCAGCGCCACATCAGAGCATCTGGGTGGGGCCAGGGTATAGACCCAAGTCAACTTGTCTTCTTTCTGTTTCAGAGATTTTGAGCAACACCATCAAGCCTTACAATGTAAGTTTGCTGCTATAGTGGCAGGCATGGTGGGATTAAATCCTAGCTGGGAGTTGGGAGGCCTGAGTTCTAGAGTTATATCTGCATCAGGGGGACCTGTCATAGGATTTTCACTCATGTACTTGTTCATTCACTCAATTATTTATCACCATACACTGGTAGGGAAAAGACTCATAAATTGGCGATTGCAGTGCGTACTAGTAAGCTCTGGGCCATGGGATTCCAAGGGACCCCTGTCCCCACCTAGCTGCTCAGCTTGTCTTGCTGAGAGTACTTGCCATGTCTTCATTTTAGGGAACTAGCAAGCCTTCTCTGAAACCATAGGGACAGTCCTTAGGCTCATCCCATTCCTGATAGCATGGATGTTCTTATATATTATATATTAGAGCAAGTTAACCCAAAAGTGGAGGGGGAAGTGTGCTCTAGCCATTCCTTTAAAGAAGGACAGTTATCTGTATTATTCCATAACTTATTTGGTATTTATTTAAAGTGTCTGAATTGTGCCAAAATTCTCAGAACTGTTTGCATGCTCTGGAAACTTTGTAGCTTAGCATTCTTGTTGATGTTTTTGGTGTTGATCATTTTATCTGCTGTCTATTGAGCATAGTGCTGAGAACTGTGCAAGGCACATCACACACATCAGATTCTCACAGTAAACCAGTAGAGGTTTCCTTGGCACTGTTTGACAGTTAGGACTCTTGGCCTAGAGGGGAGGCGAGGCAGAGCTCAACTACACATAAGGCAGGCTGACTCCAGAATCCACTCTCTTCTGCAGCACTCATGTCCGCGAAAGGCTCCCAAGGACAGGTGCCCAAGGCAGTCTTCCAAGAAAGGATTAGTGTTCCTGGGCCGCATTCTAGGCTCGCAAGGGTGATAAGGGCCCTCCCCACATACTTCCTTTACAGACTGAAGACAATGAGAAATTCAAGACGATAGTAGAGTTTGAGTGCCGGGGCCTCGAACCTGTTGATTTCCAGCCCCAGGTATGTGTGTGTCTTTCTGGGGAACCTCTGTCTTTGGGGGAGGTTGTATGAAATGATGGCAGAACTATGCTTCCCACAGAGACTATGGACTAGAAATGCTCCTTTCTAAGATGTGCAGTAATTGTCATTTATTAAGTGGCTACTGTAGGCTGGGCACCATGCCTGTCACTTTCACAAGTGCCTCATTTAATCCTCACAGTAACCCTATGAAGTTATTCATCCTACTGTTCAGATGAGGAAAGAAATTCAGAGATTCTGTGACTTGCCCAGGGTCACACAGTGAGCAGTGGAGCTACAATTTGAGCCCAGGTCTGACTCCAGAGCCAGTGCTCACCCTCTGTATTTGTGCAGTGTTTTACCTCATAGCAAATCTGTGAGGCAGGCAGAAGAAACAGTACCATCCACCCTGTTTTATAAATAAGAAAACCAAGGTCCAGAGAGGAGAGTGGCATATCCAGGGTCCTTCATCAAACCAGGGGTGGTAGAAGGGTTTACTCCATGCCTCCTCCCTGGTCCAGGGCTATAATTTGGAGGAACCACTCTAGTCCAGGCAGCTGCCAGATCCTAGAAGCTTGGCAGTTATTCCAGAACAGCTGCTCACACTGCTTCTCTGTCCTCTGTCCCTCACATGCCAGGTGCCTCCTTTTCCTAAAACTAACTGCTGCCTTCGATCCTCTGCAGGCTGGGTTTGCTGCCGAGGGCACGGAGTCGGGAACATTCTTTGGTGACATTAATTTGCAGGAGAAGGTATGAGACTTGGGTGCCTTGCAAGGTGCTGTAGGGCGTCTGGTGGGAATTACCCTTTTGATGAACAAGGCTCATCAGTGGAAGGCTGACCCTGCATTTTTGTGCTTTTCTTTGGTGCTTTTGCTGTTTAAATGGCTGCAATTGTATTGCTGAAGTGCTGTCTAGTGTTCCCATGTGCTAGAAGGCTGTGATGTGCCTTACAGAGAAAATAATGTGCTAGATCAGCTTTGTTCAGGCAGGCGTCACAGTGCTGCTGGCTGTGAGCTCAACTGTTAGTTTTTTGTTTTTATAAAGGAGTCTTGCTATGTTGCCCAGGCTGGTCTTGAGTTCTTGGGCTCAAGCAATCCTCCCGCCTTGGCCTAAGATTATAGGTGTGAGCCACCACACCCAGCCGAGCTCAGTATTAATGAATCAACAGTATATATATAAATTGTTTTTAAACAGAAATACACATAGAACACGATTATTTCTTGATTGGTTGGTGAAAATGTGACCAGAAACTCATAGGAACCTAACCCTGTATTTCCCCTGGAAGCGTTTAGTATTTGCTAATTTGGTATTTATGGTGATTTTATAGAGCCTAATTGCCATGAATAATAAGAAATAGTCTTTGTTACTACCCTGCAGATAGAAAAGTCTTGTACCCAGGCCTTGAAGGAAGGAAGGACAAAAACTTCCTTCCGTTTACATAGCACCTAATGACAACAGTAGCTGGCATTTACTGAGCCTTTACATGTGCCAGGCACTATGCTGAATGCTTTTACCTGTGTTGCCTCATTTGATTCTTTAAACATTCAATATGAAATCTACTGTTATCCCTTTTGTCATGTAGAGGACAGGGCTTGGAGGAGAGTCTCAGAGAAGTTAAGTGACTTGCCTAAAATCTCGAAGCTGAAAGAGCTGGAATTCAGACCTGAGCTGTCTGGCTCTGCTCTGTTCAGGTCATATGTGTTCATGAATGTCTAAGTCAGAACCCGAGCTGGGCCTCTTAAGTCCTAGTTCAAGTTCTAGTTCTCCATTCTGCACACTGTCCCATACTGTCTTGTAAGACTGACATTGCCATTTCTTTCACAGGACTGGACTGACTATGATGAAAAGGCCCAGGAATCTGTGGGAATCTATGAGGTCACCCACCAGTTTGTGAGGTGCTGAACCCTTTTCCTGCACACTTGCTCTTAAAAACTGAAAGGGACAAATTTCTGTAAGCAGCAGAACCCACTGAGACTGGTCCCCTTGTCCCTCGTCTCCTGACAGCTGTACCACACCTTCACATTCTGCATGCCGGACTCTGTTACAGCTTCCTAAGCCCCACCAATAAAGCCCTTGTTCGTGCTGCCCTGGTCATGAGGCAGAGTCACGCAGCAGCCACTCCATCCACGCCGGGCAGAGTTGTTTAATGCACAGCTGTGTCATGAGGGGAGGCCCATGCCTACACGTGGTGAACCTGCCATTTGGTAAACCTGTTACCTGGACCTCAGTGCTGGAGGCTGGATTTCTTGGGAGTAAAAATCAGTGTCTTCATTTCCTGTTTCTGCGAGTGGGAAAGGGTCTGCCACCCCTGCTGGTTGTGGGGCTTTAGGAAGACAGACCTGAGGTTTTAGGCAAAGCTGGCCCTGTGTAGGGGGGTGAAGAGGTGACTGCCTGGTCACCTCTCAAGTCTGGCAGCCACATTGTGTTCCTCTAGATCCTCTGCCTTCCTGGTTCCCTGGGCTCTTTCTTGCACCTGAGAGCACAGGACTTCCACAGGGCTCCCACCCACCGGGTCCGTCCACTGCTCAGCAAGTAACAGGAAGCAAATAACATGGGAAACATCAGGCTGGGTTTCAGCCTTTCTGGGTTTTAGTCTCTCTACCAGTCAGTGTTAGGCTCATAAAAACACACCAGTGGGGTCTCAAGGTTTTATGTGTATTTTAAGTTATTTTCTCATCTTTTAGGAGGTGGGGGACCTAAATCATTAATATTTAAAGGAAAAATGAGCTGGTGTGGTGGCTTACGCCTGTAATCTCAGCACTTTGGGAGGTGGAGGTGAGAGGATTGTCCGAGCCCAGGGATTCAGGGTCAGCCTGGGCAACTTGGCAAGACCTCGCCTCTACAATAAATCAAAAAATTAGCTGGCTGTGGTGGCACACACCTGTGATTCCAGCTGATTGGAAGGCTGAGGCGGAAGGATTTCCTGAGCCAAGCAGATTGAGGCTGCGGTGGCCATGAGTGTGCCCTTGCACTCCAGCCTGGGTGACAGAGTAAGACTCTGACTCAAAAAAATAAATAATGTGAGAGGATTGGAAAGGAAAAAGTAACTCATTTTTCTCACATGATTTTCACTAAGAAAATCCAAAAGAACAGGTGGTGGACTTAAGGTCAATATGCATAAATCAAATGCATTTTAATACATTAGCAAAATGCAAGAAAAGACACCATAACAGTAACCAAAATACCCAAATAGTAGGAAGTAATCTATCAAAGACTTATGATCTTAATGGAGAAAAGTAGTAAACTTCAGTGAAAAGTGCTAAAGAAAGCCACAATGGAAGTCTATTCTATTATTGATGGATAGGAAGATTCGATATTAGGATGCCCATCTTCAACAGATGTATGTATAAATTAAATTCCAATAGACGAGTCTAGGCAGCACAATGAGACCTTGTTGCTACAAAAAAAAATCAGAAAGTTAGCCAGGCATGTTGGCGCGTGCCTGTGTCCTGCTGCTTGGGAGGCTGAGGTGGAAGGATCACCTGAGCCTGGGAGGTCAAGCCTGTAGTGAGCTGTGATCATGTCACTGCACTCCAGTCTGGGTAACAGAATGAGACCTCAACTCAAAAAAAAAAAATCCATTAGAAATTTCAACTTTCTAAATAGAATTGAGTTGGTTCCGAAGTCCATATAAGGCAGAAGAGAGATTTCCCCTACAATATACCACAGTGGTGGAGCGTGGAGGCTCATGCCTGTAATCCCAGCACTTTGGAATGCTGAGGTGAGAGGACTGCTTGAGCCCAAGAGTTCGAGACCAGTCTGGGCAATGTACAAACAATAATTTTTTTTAAAAATTAGCTGGGTGTGGTGGCACATACCTGTAGTCCCAGTTAATCGGGAGACTGAGGCAGAAAGATGACTTGAGCCCAGGAGGTTGAGACTGTGGTGAGTCATGATCTCGCCACTGCACTCCAGCCTGGGCAATAGAGTGAAACCCCAACTCAAAAAAAAAAAAAAATCACAATATATAAGGCGACATCAATTAAGCCACCATGATAATCCCACTATGACATACAAATTGACTAGTGGAACAATCAATAAACAGCTGTTTATTAACAGGTGGTATTGCAGATCAGTGAGCAAATTATTAACTCATCAATAAGTGGTTGCTGGGGCAGTTTAACTTTGTGGAATAAGATCAGAACCCTCCTTCACCGCATACAGAAATTATTCCAAGAAAAGCAATGATCTTGAGTGCCTTGGTTCTGCTGTGTTTGGGAGAACCCTGGGCTCAGTGTTGGGCTCACTGTAAACCCCTGGGCAAGGACTTCCCCTCTCGGGCCTCATCTTCAACTGAGAAATGGCACCTTCAGCTCTGACGTGCTTCGCGATGAGAGCAGTCAGCTGGTGGTGGCAGGTCTGTCCGGATCTGGCATTCATCCCCAGGCCCGAGCACATACAGTCAGTGATGAACAAAAGGCAGTTCCTGCCCCATACTCCAGGATGGCTGTGTCCTGCGCAGGCAGGAGTGGAGGATGAGACGGTGTGGGCCATGCATTCCCAGTTGCTTTTTTGGAGGTCCCTGGTGCACTCTTACATATTTCTGAACAGCTGGTTAGAAAGTACATACCATCTTTGTCCAATAGTGTTTTTCTTAACTAGACCTGTGTGTAAAACCTGGCTTTTTGTAACAATGAGATGAAGGTTGAGTATGGTTACGCTGCAGGCCTCGTGTCCATGGTCCCTTCTACAGAAGCACCCAAGGGCTCTCTGCCTGGCTAGGCAGCCATGGGGACCATGTCGCGGTGCTCCCCAGTCAGCGAGCCAAGTGCCACTGGGCCGAGTGCCTTCTGGTTGGGTCATCGGGACTCCGGGGAAGGCTGCATCCGTGCCTGGCCTCAGAAAGCTCAGGACTCACAGTACTGGCATTTTGCTTTCCTGGTACTGTTTGTGCATCCGAAGGCTCATTTGGCACATCTTCCCCAGGGCCTTTCCCACACCAAAGTCTGGAGGGAGGGAGAGGAATCAGACCCAGGCTCTTGCTCAGGAGCAAGTGGTCAAAGTGAGGTCTAAGCCATTCACTAAAACAGGAGTTCCCAGGCATAGCTGTGCTTTGGATCACGGGCAAAACTTCTGGAATAGGTTCTTGGCCTCACTTCACTCCCACTGAATCAGCCTCTTCAGGGCTGAGGCCTGAGATTTTTTTTTTTTTTCTTTTTTTTTTGAGTTGGAATCTCACTCTGTTGCCCAGACTGGAGTACAGTGGCACGATCACGGCCACCGCAACCTCGTCCTGCTGGGCTCCGGCGATCCTTCCGCCTCAGCCTTCCAAGGAGCTGAAACTACAGTCATGTGCTACCACACCCGGCTAATTTCTTATTTATTGTAGAGGCGAGGGAGATTTTTATATTTAAAAGCATTCCCGAGTGAATCCAATGTGCCCAGACCACCTGAATCCCTAGATCAGGTTTCACAGCCGGATATGTGCTTGGTTGCTGTAGGAATCAAATAAGATTTGTAGACCATGTTCAGCACAGTGTCGGGGACACAGTGTTGGGGTGAATGGAAGCAGTTATGATTGGATTAGAAATGCAAACAGGCTGCACTATTCCCCAGTGACCGAGTACCAGCCAGCCAAGCTTGGAGACAGCCCAGGACTCAGTTGTCTGTGTCCCAAACCGGGTTAACTAATCCCTGCCAACTTGCCTGTTCCCTGAAGGTGACAGAGGAATCTTGCTGTTTCTTTTCAAGTGAAACGATCTTTGCCTAGCAGCGGATTTTTACTAAACCAGGAAACGGCTGTGAAGTAACCTTGCCTCAGATCCTCAGAGAAGGTGCTGTTGGGGCGCCCTCTTCTGGCCCCACTGCTTGCTATTTAGAAAGAATCGGTTCGGAAACAAGAGAACATCCAACAGGAACAAAGGTCAGAGGTTGATGATAAATGCCAGTTACTTAAATGTACAGCAGATAAGGACTAATTTATGTGTAAGGACTCACTTTCATGTGAGGAAGACCTGTGGGCTTTGGGTAATCATCATATACTCGCCCTCAACCATTGGCAAAGTGTGAATTAAAAGTGATCTCAGGCTATATCAGAGAAGTAACAGCAAGATGAGGGGTGAGAACAGGCTCTCTCCTTCCAGACTGGGCGGCCCATTAAGATGTCCCATTTTAATGAGATACAAACAAAATTTGCTAAGTTCACTCCCTGCTCCCTGGGAGATACAAGCAAACTGGAAGGGTTTATCCAGGAGAAAACACTAGGAAGGTAGAGGGAAGGGGCAGACATGAGCAGCTTTTAAGGAGCTGAGGATTTTCCTAGGGAAAAAGACAAAGAGAATTCCATTCCATAGGGAAAAACTAGCACCAAATATAGAGTTCCAGACAGGTTTCGTTCAGTATAAGGAAGACTCCTAATTTCCGCCCAGAATTGAAATGTACTACATTGTGGGTAGTGAGTTTCTAGTCCCTGGAGGTATTCAAGAAGAAGAGATGAAGAGGATTCAAGTCTCAGATGTGACTGAAACAAGAGAGGAGATATCAGATCAGAATTCTGATTCTGACACATCCAAGCAAGGAATCCCTGGCTAGATCATCCTGGAGGTTTTTATAGTTAAGAATCTCTACAGCAGACAAATACAGGGAGTTGAATTGCCCAAGGCTAGTTGCAAAACCCAAAGGCATGTTTCTCTTTCAAAATTCCCTAGATGACAAAGTTTTAGCAATAACTGGAGGGAAAATGAATGTGGAATCAACTCCGACCTTCAGGAGATCTGTGCTCTTGTCCATTTGTTCCCACCCTTCCTGTTCTCTTGGTGTAAGTGTGGAGAGAGGCCGCTTCAGAGAACATCCTAAACATTTAACTGAAGCCCACTAGTTCACTCTCTCCTGTCAAGCTCCAGAACCCCTAGCGACAGCTAAAAAATCCTGAGACATAAAGTAGATTATGGGGGAGTGAGAGAGTTGGGGGAAAGGTATGAGTGCTAGCGGGTAGGGGGTTTCCTCTGGGGATGGCTGTCTTCCCAAAGAGCTGCCTCTCACATGGGCAGCTCCACTCGGGAGCTGCTTGTAGGGTCTGGAGCAGCAGGGAGTCAACTGAATCACGTTTGCATTCCCAAGCTGGGAGTCCAGCTAGTTTAAGACCTAAATTACTGGAAACATAGACAAATAGAAGCATAATAGCAAGAGCACTGCACAAAAATCAGACCCTTCCACTTAAGTGACCTTGGTTCAGCCCCAACCTACTCACCATCTATATGTAAAATGAGGGTAATAATTTCTGCCCATTCTGGCCTTGAGGGGATCAAAGCAGCTGATGCATAGAGAAGAGCTTTATGAATGGCCAAGTTCTGTACAAACATGCAAGATTTATGTGAGCCCCACTGGTTGAGGCTCAGTAGTTGAGCGTCTTTGCCATGTAGCTACCATCCCAGAACCCTTCATAACATGAATCCAAGACCAGGAAAGGTAAGGGGAGTTGTGAACAGCAGTATTGAGCACTAAGACAGCCCAGTGGGAGCGTGCTCCTTGAGAATCCATGTACCCGAGGTGTACCCAAGAGTACACTCACCACAAGCATGAGCATGAAGTTTTCCAGCCCTGCAAGATTCCTTTGAGGCCTTGGTCTTACGTGCTAATGCTGTGGGGGAACTCGCTACTCAAGTGGGGTCAGCACTTCAAAAGGGAAAGAGTGAGCAGCATATGTCACAGAGCTGTAAGAGAACACAGATTCGGCTTCCCCCGCAGGCCAGGGGCTTCACCGGTACAGTTACAGCCTACCGTCGTCACATTCCCGTGCTCTGGGAACTGTCCCTATTTTACAGAGAGGGGTTCAGGGCTAGAGAGGCAAAAGAGCTGGCCAGTGGCCATGGAGTGAAGAAGAGAGGGAGCCAGGATGCCAGTTCAGGCCTTCCCGGTGATGGTCCATGATTGAGAGCAGCATCGTGTCTATGTGCATTGGTGACCATCCAATATCTCTCTCTGGCCAAACTACAGATGCAGAGGGCCTGGTACCTGCTGGGTGTCACTAAACCAGTACTGAGAGAAGGATGGCTGGCATCGGCTAAGAAGACATGCAGATATGCTTACATGGATTGTAAGGAAGATTCAATGAGATGATGCTTTGTGACCAGCTCATGTAAGAATCCAAATCCCAGGCATACTAACTCACTGGGAAGCCACTGGGACTGTAGTAAAATTAAACCCCTTCCTTTTCAAAAAACACCCTTTCTTTCACATAACAGCAGTGTTCTAACAATAACTGGAGAGAAAAATCGTGTTCACCTCACTCAGTGGAGTAGTTTCCTCAACTACAGAATGTGAAATGTGATATCTTCTGCCAGAGGTCATAACTAGCACACAAGCTCCAGCTAATTAAAAGAAATACGGGCTGATGATAATCCTTACTGACTGAAGAACAGTAAAACAGCACTCCCTAAATCCACGGGAAGAGCCCTGATTACAGCAGGGCCGTCAGAAAGTTTACTCTTTAGAAAAACGAATATTCTTTTAAATAGGTGGCATCCCAAGAGTGAGGGGCACGTTTACAGAGGCTGAAGCAACAAGTCCAACAGCACCTGATGAGTCTGAGTTGATGAGAACTTTTGTTTCCTGAACTTGCAGAGTTAGAAAGTTCTTTGTGGGGATTAGGAAATGAGGTTAAAAAAAAAAAAAAGAGGGACCATCTTCAAGCAAAAGTTACATTTTATTTCTGCTTTAACAATAAATACACCTGAGTTATTTTTCCAAACCTTACTTCCTGATCAAATGTCCTTAAAACTGCAATCTCTCGTTATCTTTATTGTGATCTAGTCATACTCAGAAATTGCATGTTTCATTTTAAAATCATGATTTTAAAGCTCACGCCCACAGCACTGGCTGCTCAGGGCATCATGATTAGTTTTGTTAGCCACTGAATAGCACCTACTGGCTTTACAGGCCCCAGTTTCACAGTGAGGAAGTGATGGTGGCTTTTCATCCACCCAGAAGCTAAGTTTTGACGGATTTGCCTTCTAAGGCATCGAACATGTCTTCTAAGGCCTTCTCCACACACTGGAGAAACTCCCGGGCGTTGCGGCCTGGGTAGGAAGAGACATTGCAGCCTATCCAGTCATCATGAACAGCATACCCGATGCCAAAGCCATCAGGGACCACGGGGGCAAAGCCCCCAAGGTTCACTGCTGGGCTGCTCAGCGTGCTCGTGGACAGGATGTTGTGGTTGATCTGCTCGTACGCAGGGTCCAGGTAGAGTTCTGGCAGGGTGATCCCTTTGGCTGCTGCCAGGTACCGCAGAGCAAACAAGTGTCGGTCAAAGCCCTGGCCTGTCGGAAACAAGATGGAAAACCAGAGTCTCAGAATCTCAGAACTGAAAAGAAATTTGGGAAGCCCCTTCACAACATCCCTAAGAGTGAAAGAAGGAAGGGTCTGTTCATCTTGGCATGCATGACACCAGCTCAGCATCCTTCAGAGCAGCTCATCCTAGAATATTTTTAATTATTTAAAAAATGTATTCTGTTATGTTCTGTATTTAAAAATAGTTGTTGGCCAGGCACAGTGGCTCACGCCTATAATCCCAGCACTTTGGGAGGCCGAGGTAAGAGGATTGCCTGAGCCCATGGGTTCGAGACCAGCCTGGGCAATTTGGCGAGACCTCATCTCTACAATAAATCAAAAAATTAGTCAGGCATGGTGACGCATGCCTGTAGTTTCAGCTACTTGGAAGACTGAAACAGAAGGATCGCCTGAGCCCAGAAGGTCAAGGCTGTGGTGGCCGGAAGCGTGCCACTGCACTCAAGTCTGGGTGACAGAGTGAGACTCCAACTCAAAAAAAAGTAAAAATTAAAATAAACATAGTTGTCAACAGCAGAGCTAAAAATAAGCCTAAAATGAAAGCATGATTTTTAAAATGCTGAATCAGGTTAGTCCAGTCGCCAAGACAATATGTAAAGAAAGCTATGGACTCGTCCGATTCAAGTGTAAAAAAAGAAGATTGAGTCAGTGGAATTAAATGGAAAGGTTATTTGACCAAGGTTCTAATCTCAGCCTTATTACTCACTTGCTGTGTAATGCTGGGCCTTTGCCTCAGTTTCCTTCCTATAAAATGGAGAAGACTAGAATGTTTTGGAGGTGCCTTTCAGTCCCAGGACTTTGTAGCTACATGAAAGGACTGGACTATGTGATCTTCCAGGTTCTTCCCGTCTTGAGCTTCATCGCAAAGAGATAAGGTGGGATGACACAAATGGGATAAGCTTCTGAAGTGCTCTGCTCACAGGGAACCAAAGTGAGTCTGATAGCCAGTGAATGACAGAAAAAGAGAACCACGTGCCACAGCTGAGAGTGACCTTAAATAAGGGTAAAGTTAGAGGCATTCCCCATCTCGGCTTAGGAGTCGAGAACATTCTGATCCTTAGAAGCTAGTGTGGCTTCAAAAAACCATTTTGGGAGTTGACAGATAAACCTAGCAGAGAAGTAGAAATCAGATCTGGGGTGGAACACAGCATTACTAAGGCTACCCAAGCACTGAGACAAGACCTGAGGGCGTGCTCTCCGCCCTGCCTCACCCATTGCTGCTTCTTTGGTCAGCTGGCCGTGGTACTTGGAACACTCAGCCATCATCTGCTGAAGCTCGCCAGCACTGTGCTTGGAGGGCTCCCTGACAAAGGCCTCGGAGCACCTCTTTGTGAAGATGGAGGCCGGGCGGATGGTCTCGGTGCGGCCATGCTTGAATGCCGCCGTGCTGCAGGACTCGTAGGTGGCCACTGTCTGCCCATACTGCCGCAGGAAGGCCATCTGGAAGGCCAGTTGGGCCACTGCATCAGGGCTCAGCTTCTGCTTCTTCAAGAATTCTTTGCCTCCTCTTTGAAACTGGATGCAGTCAATAGTAAGCGTTTTCATGGTGGCATCAAACTTTTCCTTAGCAGCGGTGATGCTAGTCTTTAAGGCGTCATTCAGCTTGAAGGTGAGTTTCTGCACAGCAACAGAAGAGTCAATGGTGGCCGGCTGGCTCTGGGGAGTGACAGCAGGCATCTGAGTGCTGTCTTTAAAGACTTCGTTAAAAAACCTGAGCATCGCAACTCCATCACCCCAAGCATGCTCAAAGTTGACAGCAGCGGTACCATCCTTGGCTATGATGAGGTTAAAGGATTTATCAAACCAGCGGTTTGTGCCATCACCGTGCAGCATGTTGTGGGACAGGTGAACGAGGTCCTTAATGGGGAAGTCATCTAGGCAAAGGCAGAACACAGCAGAGTCCACCTTCCTCAGGGTCTCCTCATTGCCACTCCTCACCAGCTTCTGCCTGAGCTCTGCCCAGACATTTCGGTTCTCACTGGTCAGATATGCCAGAGGAAACTCGGGGGCGGGGCTGTGGTCTGAGAGAATGTACTTCAGATGGGCTTGGATTTCTGAGGCGCTCACAATGTTGTCATCTTGATCCAGGACATCAAAGACATAACAATGTCCTTTCCTCAGGACCAGGAGGTGTCTGGCCTCGCATTCGGTAAAGAGTTCATCCCGGCTGGGTTTGGGAACACGAGTTGAATTGAAAAGCCGAAAATACTGGGACATGTCTAGGGGATATGCATTGACTAAGTAGGCACCATACCAGGACAGAGAGGAAGGCACAAAGCGTACGAGTCTCTTGAAAGTGTTAGTGTCACTTTTGGCAGGATTCAAGTGGAACACTTCTGGCTCCAGAAGGCCAGCTCGGAGTGTCTTCAGAAACCTGATGGCAGAAACAGTCATGTTGGTTGCCCGCGTGAGCTGGTCATTATACTCGGATTTTGGGTCAGGATTGAATGCCATAAATGGATTAAAGTTTAGGACAATGGAGTCTCGAGCAGTTAAGTACATATCAAACCAGGGAGCTGAAAATGAAAAAGAAAAAACAACATAAAAAGTTAATGCAGTCCCTAAAAATAAAACTTGAGGAAGAAAAATTCAAGCACAGATTGAGGCAATGACACTAACTTCCAGAAGGTGGAATCCTGATTTTTTTTTTGCTCTGCCATAACTCATGACATATAAATGGGATCATAGGAGATATGGTCTTTTGCATCTGGCTTCCATCACTTACAATGTTTTTGTGGTTCATTCATGTTATAGCATGTAACAGTTCTTCGTTTCTTTGTATTGCTGAATAATGTCCCATCATATGATTATACATTTTGTTTATCCGCTCATCAACTAATGGACATTTGAATTGTTTCTACTTTTTGGTTCTTTTTTCTTTTTTTTAGCTGGAGTCTCACGCTGTTGCCCAGTCTAGGGTGCAGTGACACACTCATGGCTACCACTGCCTTGACCCGCTGGGCACAGGCGATACTTCCATCTCAGCCCTCCTAGTAGTGGAACCACAAGCGCATGCTACCAAGCCCAGCTGATTTTTTTATTTAATGTAGAGATGAGGTGTCGCCAAGTTGCCCAGGCTGGTCTTGAACCCGTGGGCTCAGGCAGTCCTTTCACCTCAGCCTCCCAAAGTGCTGGGATTCCAGGCATGAGCCAACACACCAAGTCTCATTTTTTAGTTCTTATGAATTATGTTGCTCTAAACATTCATATACAAGTTTTTGTGTGGACATGTGTTCTCACTTCTCTTGGGGATATAGCTAGGAGTGGAATTGCTAAGTCATGCACTAAGTCTGTGTTTAACCTCTGAGGAACCACCAGGGCATTTTCCAAAGTGGCTGCACCATTCCCACCAGCTGTCATGAGGGTTCCAATTTTTCCACATCCTTGGCAACCCGTTTTGGAATGTCTTTTTGATTGGAGCTATTCTGGTGGATGTGAAGTGGTACACCACTGCAGATTTGATTTGCACTTTCCTGATATTTATTAATTGCCTTCTCTTCCTCATTCTGTTTCCTTTCTTGGTTCACAAGGGAATAAAATACAGTAATACCTCACTTGCATTCATGCTGGACCAGAATAGCTCATTCCCATTCCATCTCCTTAGGTTTTCTTGCTCCATCTCCTTTCAGGGACAATATTCATACTTGATTGTCTCCCCTAATAGGGAGAAGCATCTTCACTGTCCTTCTGTGTACAGGGTATATTTGTACACTCCCTGTTTGACAGAGTACTCAAAAATCAATGAGAGATAACTAAATGCCTGAGGAACACTCAAACTGGCCCTCTGCGCTCCTATGAATATTTCACCTATAAAAATTCCAGAAGCAATATTTTACTAGAACTTATGTCTTTAAGGAAAGTTCCTGCCGGGATAAGCAAGCATGAATACACCCTACAAATAAGGACCATCTTTCATTGGCGTAAATAACGTTCACATGGAAAGCACAGGATTCACAGGTGCAAAGTTATCTATTATTTGTTGGTCCGCACATTCCATTCCACCTCTTGAACATCAATGCTGTGCCAGGGACTGGTCCAGGGAATTTAGAGAGGAATAGGACACAGTCATTAACTCTGAAAAACTCTGGTGAAGGAGACAAAGCATAATGCAATCACTAAAATGGTGAGAGAAAAGAAGTCCTTGTGGGTAAGATATATTTGGTGAAAGAAGACAAAAATTCGTCTTTGACCAGACCCTTTAATTTTTTTTTTCTTTTGAGTTGGAGTCTCACTCTGTCGCCTAGGCTGGAGTGCAGTGGCACACTCACGGCCACTCCAGTGTTGACCTGCTGGGCTTTGGCAAACTTTTTTTTTTTGAGTCAGGGTCTCACTCCATCGCCTAGGCTGGAGTGCAGTGGCATGATCACAACAATCACAGCTCACTGCAGCCTTGACCTCCTGGGCTCAGGCAATCCTACCACCTCAGCCTCCTGAGTAACTGAGACTACAGGTGCACGCCACCACACCCAGCTAATATTTTTACTTTTTTGTAGAGACATGGTCTCACTATGTTTCCCAGGCAGGTCTCAAACTCCTGGGCTCAAGAAAGCCACCCACCTCAGCCTCAGGCATGAGCCACTGTGCCCAAACTCCCTTTAATAAAATAATTTTAAAGAGGCATAAACCAGTAAAGCCAAGAGAAGAGAAAAGAACAAATACTGGAAACTGGAAAGCACTTACACAACTGGTAATGATAAAGCAGAAACAAGAAGGCGACCTCAGTGGGCAGGAGAGAGAACCGAGAAATCATGTGACTTGCTCAGCATAACCCTAGAGGGCTGGTCGAGACTGTTCAACTAGGTCACCACCACCACCCAAGATTCCTGCCCATTCTGGTAGAAGATTTAAGTTTTATTCTCTGGAAAAAGTGAAACTGGGAGACCTAAGTCAGCTGAGATCTCCAACCTTCTCTTACCCTATTTCAACAATACTAGCAGCCTCCTGGCAGTTGACTGGAAAAGCCTTCCCTGGGGAATCTAACCCAAAACACTACTATTAGCAGCGTCCCAAGGAACCAGTTTAGCTGGATCCCACTGCAGTGACGCCCACAGCCGATAAGCCCCACTCTCACCCACGAAGCTTCCAACAGCTTGGCAATACCTCACTCATATCTAAGGCAGCAGAGCAGGATCATGAAACATCTGAAGGAAGGAAAGAGGACAAAACAAATGGCAGAGAGCAACTCGGAGGAGAAAGACTGTGAAGGGACAAGGGAACGTTCTTTTTTAATTCCCAGAGATAAACTATGTTTTGAAGGGTTTTTTTTTTTAAATCAGAATCTCACTCCGTCGCCTAGGCTGGAGTGCAGGGACACACTCATGGCCACCCCGGCATCTACCTGCTGGGCTCCAGCGATCCTTCCACCTTAGCCTTCCAGGTAGCCGGAACTACAGGTATGCACTATCACGCCCAGCTAGTTCTTGATTTGTTGTAGAGACAAGGTCTCACCAAGTTGCCCAGGCTGGTCTTGAAGCCATGGGCTCAGGCAATCCTCTCACCTCGGCGTCCCAAAGTGCTGGGATTATAGGCTTGAGCAACTGTGCTCGGCTCAAGATAGAGACAACAGAGATGAAAAATATGAGAGAAAGGGTTAGAAAATTAGAGGATCAGGCCTGGAAATTCTGAATGTTAAGGGTTCCAGAAAGAGAAAACAGAAAAAAATGGAGGGGAGGAAAACAAAGAAACAAGATAAGAAAATGTCACAGAACTGAAGAATACGAGTTTCCAGCTTCAAAAGACTCACAGGGTGGCCCAGCAAAATGGGTAGGAAGAAACCCATACCAAAACACATTATCTGAAAATTTCAGAACATTCTAAAAAGCTAGGAAAGATAGGAAGCAGTCAAAGGATCGGTCTCAGAATAACAATGGACTTACCAAAAGCAAAGGAGAAAAGCCTTCAAAATTCTGTGAGAAAATGATTTCCAGCTAGCCGAACAAATTATCAATGAAGTATTAGGAACATTTTTAAATGTTTGCGTCTTGGCCAGATGCAGTGGCTCAAGCCTGTAATCCCAGAAATTTGGGAGGCTGAGGAGGGAGGATCACTTGAGCTCAGGAGTTAGAGACCAGATGGGCAACACAGTGAGACTTCGTCTCTACAAAAAATAAAAAAAACTAGCCAGCTGTGGTGACACATGCCTGTAGTCCCAGCTACTCTGAAAGCTGAGGCAGAAGGAACGCTTGACCCAGGAGAGCAAGGTTGCAGTGAGCCATGATCATGCTACTGCACTCCAGCCTGGGCGACACAGTGAGACAAAATAAAAATTTTGCTTCCCAAGTTCTGCTTCCAGACAGGAAAGGGAAAATGTGCTCTGACAAAATAAGGGAGAAGCCAAGAAAGAAGAAAATACATAAATAGTAAAGAAACAGGAGTCCCTTGCCCACTTTTTGATGTGGTTATTGAATAGACACTTCTCAAAAGAAGACACATGAGCAGCCAACAAACATGAAAAAATGCTCAACATCACTCATCATCAGAGTAATGCAAACTAAAAACCACAATCAACTATAACCTCACATCAGTGAGAATGGCTACTATTAGAAAGTCAAAGAACATAGCCGGGCATGGTGGTGTGCGTCTATAGTTCCAGCTACTTGTAAGGGTGAGGCGGAAGGATCGCCTAAGCTCAGCAGGTCGAGGCTGTGGTGGCCATGAGCATGCCACTGCACTCCAGTTCCAGCCTGGGCGACAAGAGTGAGACTCCAATTCAAAAAAAAAGAAAAGAAAAGAAAGTAAGTCAAAGAACAATAGTTGTTGGCGCAGTTACGAAGAAAAGGGAATGCTCATTCACTGTTGGTGGGATTGTAAACTAATTCAACCTCTATGGAAAACAGCATGGAAATTTCTCAAAGAACTAAAAATTGAACTATTATTTGAACAGCAATCGCACTACTAGGGATCTACCCAAAGAAAAAGAAATCAATATATAAAGAGATACCTGTACTTGTGTATTCACTGCAGCGCTATTCACAAGAGCAAAATGATGGAACCAACCTAAAGGTCCACCAACAATTGACTGGATAAAGAAAATATGGTATATAAACACCAGGGAATATTATGCAGTCATAAAAAAGAATGAAATCGCCGGGCTCAGCGGCTCAGCCTGTAATCCCGCACCTTTGGGAGGCTGAGGTGAGTGGATTGCCTGAACCCGTGGGTTCGAGACCTGCCTGGGCAACTTGGTGAGACCTCATCGCTACAACAAATCAAAAACTAGCTGGGTGTGGTAGCGGCGCCTGTAGTTCCAGCTACTTGGAAGGCTGAGGCGGAAGGATTGCCAGAGACCAGCAGGTCGAGGCTGCGGTGGCCGGGAGCAGCCACTGCACTCCAGTCTGGGCGACAGAGTGAGACTCCCACTCAAAAAGCAAAACAGGAAACAGGAGTCCCAACATGAGAAAGAACAGTTGCCTCAGCTGACAGTGAAAGATCCAGGAGAACAGCTTTGCAGCAGGCCAAGAAGCTCACAAATCCAAACAAAGCACATCACAAGTTCTGGAAGAGACTTCGTAAAGAGGACCAAAATGGACAGAATGTCCAGTGTGCTTTCATATATTAAGAGAAGACTTCAACGGCTTGGGGAGAGTCTGGTAATAAATTAGTAAGCACATAAACACTAAACAAAGGAAAGAATGAGGTAATTATTAACTCCAGAAACTAAAAGTGTGTGCAGGAAAGGAAAAACAATCCCACTATGCCCCATGACTCAGCGGACAACAGTATTTATATGATCATAATAGTGTAAACACTAGGTGTTGAGTTTACCAAAACCACAATTCATTTCACAACACTGGGAAATGAAGAGATGGGAAGTGCGCAGGTGCACTCACATATGAGGGAAGATGTAAAAGACGGCTCAATTCTCATCTTCTACAGTGAGATGTCAATAGATAATGCCTAAAATGCAAAAAATTAAGATGCGGTAATTAAGAATCGAACTTAGCAATATGAGGGTATGTGTCAAAAGAACTAGTCAGGAGCTACAAGTGAGAAGCGGGAAATCAGGGAGGAATGTTTACCCTTGGTAAAAATTAAGCTAAATTAAAAGAAGTGCTGCAAGAGCAGAGGTGGAAGCCACCCACTCTGAATGGAGAGGGAAAAGGACTGAGAAGGTTTCACCGAAAAACCAGCCCACCTGGCTCTTAAAGGAAGAATTTGCCAGGTAAAACAGGCAGCGGGGATGGCATGGGTAAAGGCACGGGAGAACGGAGGTCTAGTGGGTCCAGGGAACAGTGAGGAGCTTGGTGTCAAAGGAGGAAGTGTGGTGAGAGGTGACACTGGAGAGGGCAGTTCCATCAGACTGTGAAGGACCTAGAATGATACTCACAGGACAGAGGACTCAAACCTAGCATCTATTTCAGACAGGACCGTCGATTAGGTTCTGTCTCAATCCCACCTACAAAGAAGGCAAGCCACTGTTCTTGTCAACACCACAGTAGAGGAGGAATACTCTCAGCCTTCATATTTACCTCAAGGAGGAGAGGATGAGACATAACATCATTTGCTGGTCCCACCAAAAGCATTTCCGAGACCAAAACAGGAGAGGAGATGCCTTACTGTTCCTTATGGAGGGCCCTGCCTACCTACCTGAAATGTAGCTTGTGTGTTTATTCTGTTTGTCCTGAGCAACCAGCTGCTTGTGCAGTTCTCTGCCAATTCCATTTTCAAAACTCTTGCACAATTGTTCTGTTTTCCTGAAACATTCAAGAAAAGATAGAATCAAACCATGGCAGGGAATGCATGAGTTTTAGGTTCAACCAGGAACTGATACAGAGAGCGCTGGGTCCCCAACAACATATCCCTAGAACCTGGAGTGAAATCAGAACGTGCTTCTGACCAAAAGACTAGGAATCAATCTAAAATGAAAAAATCTAGGATCAATCTAAAATGAAAAAATCTAGGATATCTTCTTAAAATGACGGACTAGGAAGATCAGTCATCATCTCACAAAACAATCTATACTCTAAGAGGCAGTTTGGCATGAAGAAAAGGATATAGGCTTTAGAGTCAAAGAGTAAATTTGAATCCTAGCCCTGTCACTTTTCAACCTGTACAATCTTGGATAAGTTACTTGATCTCTCTGAGTCTCAGTTTCTTGATGTGTAAAATAGAGATAATTATACCATCTTACAAGATTAACAAATATTTATAAAGCTAAAGATTTGGAATAGCCTAAAACATAATACTCAGTAACTGGTAGCCATTAATTTATTACCACATCAAGAGGAACGTCAAGCGACTTATAAGGAATATTTAAAAACAGAGGATTAAATTATACATAGTTTATCTGTTTCTCCATCCTTGTCCAGTGAAGGACTCTGTGATTCCAATGACAATGCCAGTTATCTGTACAAAAAATCCCACTGTGGAAAAATAGTACTACACTAGGCTACAAGAGCTTAATGTGATGCACTTTTGGGCAACATCTGATATTACTTTCCAGTTCCATTCTGTTTAGTTTCCTAAGACTGCTGTAACAAAGTACCACAAACTGAGTGGCTTAAAACAACAGAAATGTCTTTTCTTACAGCTTTGGAGGCTAGAAGTACAAAATCAAGGTGTCAGTAGGACCATGTCCTCTCTGAAGCCTCTATGGGACAATCTGTTCACACCTTTCTCTTAGCTTCTGCTGTCGCTGGCAGTGCCTGGGATCTACATTACTCTAATCTCTACCTCCATCCTCACATGGCTGTCTCTGTCTCGTCTCTTCTTCTTACAAGAACACCAGTGGGCCAGGCGCTCATGCCTGTAATTCCAGCACTTTGGGAGGTGGAGGCGAGAGAACTGCCTGAGCCCATGGGTTCAAGACCAGCCTGGGCAACTTGGTGAGACCTTGTCTCTACAATAAATCAAAAAATTAGCCAGGTGTGGTGGTGTATGCCTGTAGTTTCAACTAGTTGGAAGGCTGACGCAGAAGGATCACCTGAGTCCATCGGGTTGAGGCTGTGATGGCTGTGAGCATGCCACTGCACTCCAACCTGGGCAGCAGAGTGAGACTCTAACTCAAAAAATAAAAAATAAGAAAAGGACACCAGTGTATTAAGAACCTACCCTGCCCCAGCTGACCTCACTTTAACTATATCTGCAACAGCCCTGTTTCCAAATAAGAACGTATACTGAGGTGCATGAAAAAGGGAATTAATTGTGGAGGCACAACATTCAACCAAGTAAACATGCTCAGCAAGCAAGCTTCTGATCTGCCACATGGTCTCTTCAAAAGACCTCCCCACCAGGAACACTGCCCTCTGCAAATGCCCAGGACCAGCCGCCCAGGTAAGCCTGCCAAGATAAAGTCAGTTTTAGCATTCTGGTATATAAACCGTTTCCTGCTGAGTCTGATTAGAAGGACTCTCAGGGCTTGGTCAGTCCTTCATGAATGAAAATCTATTTCCTGAACTTGCAATGTATAACCAGGTTCCAGGTTTCTGGAGACCAATCAAGTCACAGACATTCCCTGAAGCATGGTCCACACCATTACTTGCCAGCACCACAACCATGGTCAGGCAGGGTTCTTGGTGTTTACCTGAACTGGCTGTCATCCAAGAGTGGTTTCTGTGCACTGAGGTATCGCCTAATGGTGTCTTCAAGTTTGGGAATAGGCAGCCTGGGGAGAAAGCAAGGTCAGTGTAAGACTACAATGTATGTAGGAGGTTAATTAGCTTCACAAGCTAAACAAATAAACCAGATAATTAGTAGATGAGTATTAGATAATTAATTTCCTTTCAAAAAAACCAATGACAGGAAACCACTAACAAATCAGAATTGATTGATTTACTAATGTAAGCATCAATTGTAACTCTACTTCAAGTAAAATATTAACTAAATTTTCAGGTAAAATGCTAATATAATTTTTTGATAATAATAATAGATTCAAAATAGGGAAGCAGAAGCTGCCCAAGCATTCCAATTTCCTGGTCATGATTAAAATACCCGTGCTAACATTGTATTGGCACTGATTTAAGTCTACCCTTAATTTGAACAACTGCATTCTTCTCCCCCAGAAAAAAGATTCTATTTTTAAAATTTTCTTGTGCATCTTACAATAGTGAATCACACACGAGTGAAACATAGATCTGTCCGAGTGCCAGCCAAACACGGAGGCTATATCCACATAAAGGCAGGAATCGGCCGTCAAGCCATGCCTGATACCAGGAATCCTACTAGGAAGAACCAGATATCCCCATGTGCTTGAATAACAGGAACAACATTCTCTAGAGTAGATTGTCAACCATGGCAACAGTGATGAAGCTCCAGGTTTCAAGTCCATGGGGAAATGGACACATGGACAGTAGAGTGAGGTATATTTTCTCTTTGAAATATTTTTATTGAAAGATATATCCCCTAGTATCAAAACGATCATAGTTTGTTAGGTTACCTCTGCTAACTCAAAATTAATGCTGATATATGCAAAATAGCTAAATGTCAGTCATTTAGGAAAACTGAAATATCATCCAAAAGCTTAGTATAAGATACACTGTGGTTCATCAACTTATTTTTCAATGCATGTTTCTGTATAACATGATAAAAAGAAATCCATTACAGACTTAGACTGCACTAACTATTCACAACACTTTAACATTTAGGTCCCCTTACATTCACTAATTCACAGAAAATTCCAAATACTACCTCAGCTAACAAATAATTGCAAAATAGCCTACTTATGTTTCTTTTTTTTTTTTTGAGTCGGAGTCTCACTTTGTCGCCCAGGCTGGAGTGCAGTGGTATGCTCATGACAACCACAGCCTCGACCTGCTGGGCTCAGGTGATCTTTCTGCCTCAGCCTTCCAAGTAGCTGGAACTATAGGCATGCACCACCATGCCCAGCTAATTTTTTGATTTACTGTTATAGACGAGGTCTCACCATGTTGTCCAGGTTGGTCCCAAACCCCTGAGCTCAGGCAGTCCTCTGGCCTCTGCCTCCCAAAGTGTGGGATTACAGGATTACCCACCGCACCCGGCTTACTTAAATTTCTTAAGACTTTCTTTTAACACAGTAGAAATATATATATATATTTTTGAGTTGGAGTCTCACTCTGTCGCCCAGACTGGAGGGCAGTGGCCGCTCCCGGCCACCACATCCTCGACCTGCTGGGCTCCGGCGATCGCTTCCGCCTCAGCCTTCCAAGTAGCTGGAACTACAGGTGCGCACTACCATGCCGGGCTAATTTTTGATTTATTGTAGAGATGAGGTCTAGCCAAATTGCCCAGGCGGGTCTCGAACCCGTGGGCTCAGGCAATCCACTCACCTCAGCCTCCCAAAGGTGCGGGATTACAGGCTGAGCCACCGAGCCCAGCAAGACAGTAGAAATATTAATGAAAGTTTACCTTCTTCCTTTTGAACAAAATTCTAAATCAGAGACAAGGGCAGTTTGATAAAAACAGACCTTATTAAAAACTTCTGGAGTGTTAACTCCAGCTTGATCTTACTTTAGTAGGATAAGGCACAGTTTCAGAGTGATGATTTATTTTTGAATTACGAATACAATAGAAACTAAATTTTTCTATAGGGAACTAAACTGAGGCAGTAAAATTACATATAAAAATTATCATTGATACAAAAAGCACCTGTTTTCTGTAAAATATATTAAAGATAACTGGGCTGGGCATGGCAGCTCATGCCTGTAATCCCAGTGCTTTTGAGAGGCTGGGGCTGGAGGATCACTTGAGCCCAGGAATTCATGATCAGCTTGAGCATTTAGTAAGACCCTGTTCTTCACAAAAAGTTTTTTAAAAACAAAAAAAATTAGCTGGGTGTGGCGACACACATGTAGTCCCAGCTATTCAGAGGTTAAGGTGGAGGACTGCTTGAGCCCTGGAGTTCAAGGCTGCAGTGAGCTATGATCATTCCACTGAACTCTAGCCTCGGCGAGAGAGCAAGGCTGTGTCTCTAAAAAAAAAAAGCCAATAAAGATAATTTAATGAGTATGCTCAACTTCCCAGGTCTGTATTTTCCTTTCACTTCCCTGCTGGTTTCCTGCCTTCTTCCTATTTCAACGCCCCCTACGATTTCCTTCTACCTACTCACAATATCTAGTCTGGCCCACGCAGCGAATTCTCCACCAGCTCCTTGCACTACGCCTCATAGAACCCCCATTCCATTCTAAATAACATTTTTGCCTTCTGCAGAATACCTTCAATGTAAAAGCCATGTAGCAAAGCAGGCCATGCCACTGGATTATCTAATACTTGGCAGATGATGGGCCATGATGATGAAGTTACTGGTTCACAATGAAATGAAAAAAATATGGACAGTACAGTGAACTTTTCACAAATTGGCTTCATTGACTTAATTTAGGTCTGTCCTTATTTCTCAGATTACATTTTGTTTTGTTTTTTTGGATACTGGTCATTTAAAGTCCTCAAAGAAAATGCTGACACAGTATTTCTCCCCCATAATTTTACTGATCTGTGAAATCTAAAAGTATTAATATAAGAACCACTGGCACAGTAGAAAGAGGATGAGATTTAGAATTACACCTTGGCTCGAAGCCCAGCTCTGTCACTTATATAATCCTTAGTTATGCGGTCATAGGTGGCAAACTACTTGATATCTCACAGACTCCATTTCCAGTCTATGAATTGGAGGGAAGAGCTACCTCACAAGAGATCTGAAATTTATCTGCCAATTTCCAGCCACACCTCACACAAGTCTATCACTAATGTGTCCAGTATATTAGAGAGAGGAAATTCATAGTCTGTGGAATCACACAGACCTAGGCATGGATCCTGGACTCTGGCACTTACTAGCCACATGATCTTGGGCAAATGTGTGACCGCTCTGGTCCCTTTGTTTCCCTTTGTTAAATAATAACTCATTTGGGCTATTATGGGGATTAAGTGAAACAACATACATAAAGAACTTAGCAAGGGAGTTGACACATCAAACATACGGCACACACTAAACGTGTATTTATAGACACCTGGATACGTCTAGGAATCTACAGACAGCACACTTCACGTCTTTCCATTTCCCTGCCGGTTTCCCGTTTCCCTCCTATTTCAAAGCCTCCTACAAGAGACCCAAGCCCTGCCACCTACTGTTTCCTTCTGTCTGCTCAGCAATATCCGGTCTGGCCCACGCAGCTGTTATTCGCCAGCTCCTTCCACTATGCCTTGTAGCGCCCCCATTCCATCCTGAATAAATGACCCTATATCCTATAAAGTCTTCTCCAGTGCTTCTCCTACCTCCTCACCTCTCCAAATCTGACTATTCCGAAATACCACTTGCCTTTGGCTTTCTCTCCAAAAAGGCCACTCCCCAGCTTCTAGGAGGGACCAACACCCACCAGTGAGAACCAGTATGGCTGAATTACAGGACTTTTTGGAGCTATTAGGAAGGGTGATCTCTAATAGTTGTGGTCATTAAGAGATGAGGGTGTAAGCTATGCCTCATGTGCTGGCTGCCAGTTTGTCACCATGAGGAGACATGGAGCTAAGAATGGAGTCACACAAACGAGGAATTGGACAGGAAGGCAAACAAGAGTCCAGGTTACATTGTTTGAGCCCCTGATACAACTGGGATTTTTCAGGTCTGTGAGGCTAAACATTCCTCTTTGCTTAAGTTTGGAGTTTCTATAATTTGCTGCCACAAAGGTCCTTACTGTGACAATTTTCTTTTCTATGAGTGCTCACAAACCATTCTTCCAGTCACCATTATTCTCTTGAAAATTCAAGATGTGCGATTATCTCCAGTCTCTGCACTACCCTGCTTTCTCCACAGTTCTTCAGAGAACACCAAAAGCGGCTTCATTGTGTGTAGTGGCAGTTCTTTGAGCTCCCTGTGACGTCATTCACCAGGCCTTGGGGAAGAGACAGGGTCTTGAGAGAGGTGCACAGTAGACAGGTCCACCTTAACCATTTGGCTCCTCTCTCCCCACCCACCTTCACGTAAACATCATTTGCCATAATAAAGATGGAAGCAAGCACTAAGATGTACTCTCCCTGCAAGTTACTCTCAGCCACCTGCCGTCATTACCCAATCAGACTCCAAGCGGTAGGCACTTTATTGTTCTTCCTCCAAGATCACAGCTAGAAGGCCTTTTCTATGTTTCAAACTATGTTGTAATTCGATCGTTTTCAGAGTTGCTGGGAAACAGTCATCCTTGATGTCAAGACAATCAGTCTGAAGTTGATGAACAGTCGGGGAGAGGAGCCTGCAGTACGTGGGGGAGATCTAACAGGTCCAGAGCATTACTGTTTCCACCTCTGCTATCCGCCACACCCTGGAGACTCTGCCTTACCTGACCCCATACAGATTCTCGAGACCCTGCCCATTATGTTGTGATCAACAGTTATCACCTAAAATGACTAGGAATTAAAAGAAAAACAACAGGCTGGGCGCAGTGGCTTCAGCTTGTAATCCTAGCACTTTGGAAGGCCAAGGCGAGAGGATTGCCTGAGCCCAGTGAGACTAGCCTGGGCAACTTGGTGAGACCTCATCTCTACAATATATCAAAAAATTAGCCGGGCGTGGTAATGCACACCTGTAGTTCTGGCTACACAGAAGGCCGAGGCAGAAGGATCCCCTGAGCCCAGCGGGTCAAACCTGGGGTGGCCATGAGCATGCCACTGCACTCCAGCCTGGACGACAGAGAGAGATTCTGACTCAAGAAAAGAAAAGAAAAACAACAGATAATGGACATTTACAGGCCTAATTTGGTTGTTTTTTTTTTTTTGTTTTTTTTTTGAGTTGGAGTCTCACTCTGTCACCCCGACTAGAGTGCAGTGGCCGCTCCCGGCCACACCACAGCCTCGACGTGCTGGGCTCCGGCGATCCTTCCTCCTTAGCCTTCCGAGTAGCCGGAATTATAGACATGCGCTACCACGCCCGGCTAATTTCTTGATTTATTGTAGAGATGAGGTCTCGCCTGTCCAGGCGGGTCTCGAACCCACGGGCTCAGGCAATCCACTCACCTCAGCCTCCCAAAGGCGTGGGATTACAGGCTGAGCCACCGAGCCCAGCTTTAAAGATGCAACGGGCATCTTTACCCTCTCCCACACACATTCCAGGCCAATCCCATTGATTTAAAGCCTAAATGGAATTCTGTACTTTGGGCTAGGCCTACCATAAACCTCTCAGTATTTCTGGAAGTATCGTGTATTTCAGGCTTTTTTGGCAAGTGCTGCTCTGTTCTTCTCTGATTCCTCTCACTTGGTGAACTTCAAATTCCAACCCTAGTGTCACCTCTGTTAAGCTTCCCTTCCTCGCCCAGGCACCAAGTCACTCACATGACACACAGTTATCTTCTAGCACGTTCCAGATGTGCAACAAACATTTGTTTGTTTAAAGCAGTTATAGCACTTGTGAATATCTACTGAGTGCTTAATGTGTGCCAGACTCTACTAAGTGCTTTATACCAGGATATTTCATCCTAACTTCCCTAACAGAAAGGTCCTATGACCATTTTCATTCCCATTTGTAGGTTACATGACTTGCTCATGCCCACGCAGCAAGTAAGAAGTGGAGCTGGGATTAAAACTCAGGTCTGGCTCCTGAGTTAACAACCTTTTCCCACTTATCACATGATTCTATAACTGTTGTCTTACCATGACTGTTTAGTCTCCCAATCATATTAATCATGTTTATCAACTTAACCATGTGAATGAGACCAAGCTGATCCACTCTTTATCTCCTCAGGACTTGCAGTTTTATATTCTGAGGTTAAATAAAATAACTCTTAAAAATAGGCTGAACCCGGTGGCTCATAGCTGTAATCCCAGCACTTTGGGAAGTCGAGGTGAGAGGACTGCTTGAGCCCAGGAGTTCAAAACCAGCCTGGACAACATAGCAGACCCCATCTCTACCAAAAAACAAAAACAAAAACAAACAAACAACAACAGCAGCAAAAAAAAAAAAAAACACAGCCAGGCACAGGGGCTCACTTCTATAATTCCACACTTTGGGAGGCCGAGGCAGGAGGATCACTTGAGCCCAGGAGTTCAAGACCAGCCTGAGCACTTGGCCAAGACTTCATCTAAAAAAAAAAAAAACAGGCACAAAAAACCCAGTATTTTAAGCCAGGCACAGTGGCCCACGCCTGTAATCCCAGGACTTTGGGAGGTCAAGGTGAGAGGATTGCCTGAGCCTATGGTTCAAGACCAGCCCAGACAACTTGGCAAGACCTTGTCTCTACAATAAATCAAAAAAATTAGCTGGGCGTCGTAGCGCGCAACTATAGTTCCAGCTACTTGGAGGGCTAAGGCGGAAGGATCACCTGAGCCCAGCAGATCAAGGCTGCGGTGGCCGTGAGCATACCACTGTACTCCAGCCTTGGTGGCAGAGTGAGACCCTACTCAAAAATAAAAACAAAAACAAAAACACACACCTAACAGAACTATAAACCTAAAAATGGTTAAAATGGTAAATTTTATATTATGTTTATTTTACCACATGCACACAAAAAGAGCCAAGAAAAGACATAACACCTAAAAAACAAGCAAATGATAGTGCAAAGGTTCCTAGAGGAAAAAGAGTCCAAGCAAAAACAAAAACACACACCTAACAGAACTATAAACCTAAAAATGGTTAAAATGGTAAATTTTATATTATGTTTATTTTACCACATGCACACAAAAAGAGCCAAGAAAAGACATAACACCTAAAAAACAAGCAAATGATAGTGCAAAGGTTCCTAGAGGAAAAAGAGTCCAAGCAATGTGGTTAACAGACAGCTCGCATCAGGAACAGGAAGAGGGAGACCAGGGTGGGGGTGGGGGCACCTACTACACAAGGACTAGTCACTCTCCATGGCAACTAATTACAACAGCTCCTTATCTCAGTCTAGTCTCACAATAGCCCTAAGAACTCTATGTTGCCATTCCCACTTCACAGGTGAGAACCATGACCCAAAGAAGTCATCAGAATTGTCCCCAGACAGCTAAACAGTTGTAGATCCAGTATCTGAAACTAAGTTCTACCAGACCTCAAAGTCAGGGTTTTTCACCAAGTGTGACATCAATATGGTTTCACGCTTTACCAGTTTAGAATCTCAGAAACAGATTGGTATGTCAGTTCTCATCTAACTCTTCATGCAATGGTGGCCTGAGGGAAGCTGGTTGCTTAAAGTAATAGTGGGTGGTTTGACTGGTGGTATTGTTTGTGCCTCCAGATTCCTACAGATTATGCTAGATGGGGTTGGGGTGAATCTTGAATATTCTTTCCAGCTTTCCAATTCTAAAAGGCAGAAAGTCCCTTTGATCTTAAGCCTGGGTGGGGTCCAGGCCTGCCTGAAAGCCAGTAACCATCTGACCCTGGACTTGGCAAGTGAAGACAGGCTCTGCCTGCCAGTCCTCACCTTTGCCCCACATACTGGCTCAGCTCACATGCAACAGGCTAACAAAGAGGAGACATGCCCCAGACTTATCCCACAGCCACAAAGACGCTTTTTCTTTTTTGTTTTATTTCTTGTAGAGACAGATCCCACCAAGCTGCCCAGGCTGGTCACGAACCCAAGCTCAGGCAATCCTCTCACCTCGGCCTCCCAAAGTGTTGGGATTACAGGCTTGAGCCACCACACCCGGCCAAGACCCTTTTTCTTATTCTCTCCCTCTTACTAAGTTTAGATAATCTCATTTTAGCCTACACAAGATGTAATTTTCAAAAATCCCCCTTGGATGATCTCCCCGAGAGGGTGGCCGAGGGCAGGGATGATGCTGGATTAAGTGGTCCTGCATGTGGAGAAAAACAGTCATTGGGGGCGAGGCCTATGTTTGTTCTGTTCATGGGGAGGGAGCTCCGGCTCCAGCCCCTGGACTGAGGATCCCTGATGGCAGTTTGGTGAGAAAAAGTGAGACAGGTCTTTGGGACAAGTTTGGAACTTGGCACCAGGAACTGAGTGAGTAGTTAGGTTTGGTTTTAGAGGGTGAAGAAAATGTCAACTATTGGAGAAGGCAACTCAGGTGAAAATTGGAAGCCAGATTTCATAAAGTACTGGGTGAGGGAAGGGGATGGGAAGATTTATTGCATCTATTTTCATAATGGAAGTCGATTTCAGGTGAAGTGATTCAGAAGGCAGGGATGAAATGGAGCAGAGAGAATGTGGGCAGGCTTTGAATCTAATCTGATCAAGATGGGGCTGGGGCAGGGTACTGAGGATTTGCCTGGAATTCTGAGGGTGGGCTGAGGTTACAAGGGGTCATGTGGGTGAGGAAGGATATTTTAGGGGAAGGAACCTGTTGAGGAGGGCTTTTTTGAAGGGAGTGAAGTTTTCAGGTGAAGACTGGACTTAGAAAATGAGTAAGGATGTGAGGGCGTCAGTTGAGGGTTAAGGGCGACCACTTGAGGGGTGTGCTTGTGGGGACTGGTGAAATGGGGCCTGGGGATCCCGAGTAAAAGGGGTGAAGAAGGTGGTGCTGACGAAGTTGAGGGAGGTTAAGCATCATGGGTCAGGAACCAGAGGCAGTCGCTAAAGCAGTTTAGGGGACATCCTAGTTGGAGGGGTCAAGGTTGTGTTGGAGACACGCAGGTTGGCTATTTTCCAGGGAGAAACGTGAAGGACTCAGGATATTTGGGTGGAAGTCAGGTTAACGGAGGGCGAATCTGGGAAGGGTTCAAGATGTAGAATCTGACAGATTTAAAAGCGAGGGGGCTCTGGGGTGTCGCAGTCTCCAAGGTAGGGGATTAGGGACGGAAGCGGGTCAGTAGAAGAATCTTGAGGGACTGGAGTCAGGCTGGGGGCGATCCTGGGATGGCGGCAGGGACCTGGAGGCCGGGCTCACCTGGGCAGGCTGTCCTGGTAGTGCATGGTGGGCACGATGCTGCGCTGCAGGTACTGGCCGGGCCCGGCGTCG